CCCCTCGCGCCGCCGGCCCGGCTCCTCACCTGCCAGCCGTTCCCCCCGGGGCTCGGGGAAGGGATCACCCACGACGGAGACCCGCGTCCGGAGGAAGGCGACGGGGACCCGGAAGTAGATGGAGGGCCAGGCTCCCGCGTGGCTTCCGCGCCTGCGCACTTTGATAATACAAGCCACAGCTGCGGCGCGCGCCCAGTGCAGGAGAACGCGAGGGACTGCTCAGTTCATTTCCGGTCGGGAGGTGGGCGGGGCTTAAGGCCAAGGTGTGAAAGGGGCGGGGCGATCCTGGGTCCCGGAAACCAGGTGGGAAATTGCCTGCTGCCGGCCGGCCGACAAGCGTGCGGCGGGACAGCCCGGGAAGTGGATATGGTTAGGCATGATGTTGGAACCCGGGTTTCCTAGAATTTGTCTGTTTCCTCATTCCCGCCCAGCATCTGTCGTGTTGCTGATAACAACATGGATGATTCAGGTGGTGGCTGGCGCAGCAAACCGAAGTCTGAAGGCCCTCCTTGATTTCTGTTTTGTTTTTAGCCCCACCAGGATGCTCATGTCCAGGCATCTGCTTTCTTGATTTCTGATGTAATCTTGGCAGAGACTAAAGGGGCTCTTAGGTCTGTGTATCTGCGTATTTGATACCTTGGGGAACGTCCGGAGACCCTCCTGATTCTTTGGGCCTTACCTCTAAGCCCTGTGCGGGTCAGAAGACTACTTGCGCAAAACCAGACCCAGATGCTTCGGGTGCAAAACTTAGGGGTGGAGGGAAATGCTAATTAGCTACAATCCTGGAGGAGAGGTGCGTGGGTCCCGAACCCCAGGCAGAAGCAAGCCCGGGAAGATTCCAGGAGGACATGGCACTCCCGCCGCGCGTCCCCTCTGCCCGCCAGCTCGGCCTTCGTGGGGCAGGCGCTCCGCAGAAGAGGGGAGCCTCAGCATTCGGAGCCTCCAGTCCCCCGGGCCTGGGGGGCAGCGCTCTTCCCGGCCAACTGTCTGCCGGTCAGCCCGGCCTGGTGCCGTGCGTGTCACCACGTACAGCCATGGTGCCACGCAGGGCGGGTGTCTCGCTGCCGTGCACCAGACAGCGCCTACCTTCGCGCACCCGAGGCGGCTTGGCGGGGGAGGTGCTCGGGGTCCGCGGTCCACGACCACCGGGGCGGCCGCGCCTGGGTGGGGTGACTCCGGCCCGCTTGAGGCTGGAGCGAAGGCCTTGAGGATGAGGAGGCCTGGATTGAGCTAGTCCGGCGGTGAAGCCGACAGTCAGAACGACTGCGTCGCTGCGCCAATCACTCTCCAGCGCCCGCGCCCTAGGACCGCCCCTTCCCGCCCATTTACTCCTGGTCCTGCCTCCGACTTCAGGAGGACCCAGCAGCCGAGAGCCCGGATGAAAGCTCTAGGGGCATGCGTGAAAGTAGAGCTCTCTTGTCATTGGTTATCGCAGGGAGCATGTTGATGACGACATGGGGAAAACAGGAAGTGGGCCCTGCGGGCGCTGGCGGGGCCCGAGAGCGCCGCGGAGGAGCCGGTCGTCCCGGCCCGGAATGAGTGGAGCCGGGGACGCCCTGGCCAGGCGGGACGCGGTGGCTTTAGTCAAGGCTTGAGCGCTCGAGCGGAGGACAGGCCGCTTCCCGCAGCATGGAGGACGACGCCCCGGTGATCTACGGGCTGGAGTTCCAGGTGGGCCCCTCGCCGGGCGGCCGCGCGGCCAGACCCGGCCCGGCCCTGGG